CCAGCAGATTACCCTATCATCAAGTCATCAGTATGCTGCTATTTGAATAAACACAGCTGTTGTTTTCCAAGAAATATGGCTAGGAGCAGCAAGGAAAAAAAGGGCAATTAGTGTTATTGAAATGAAGGGGTACTCAGGATGGCATATATATATTTATGAGCATTTTCGTTTCCGAATAGCCTATTTACCATGCTGTGACTTAACAGTGGGGGAGTAATGATCCCCTCTCCAAATCCTTGGTACTTTACTGCATTTTGCTATTTGCCTAATATTAATTACAAATAATTTTCATAATTAAAATAAATATATATATTTTAATTTCACATGACCTTGTGCTATCTTCTATCCACAAATCCTTGAAGTTTTGATGGCAGCATGTTCCAAAGACCTATATATAAGGATATATGAATAGGATAACCTATTTTAAAATTTATGCTAATGATTTCAATATATGGAGCAAAGATGTTATTGTCCTGGATCTGGGAATAAGGCTTGTTTTTAGAGGGTCAAGGGGAACCTTCAGCATGGTGTAATGCGGAGTGGTGGACCAGAAAGATGAGACTATTAACCAACAGTGTGGGCCCAGGCAAGGGACCCAGGCAAGCTGGATCTCAGCTTCTTTATCTGTAAACTGTTGAGATTGGATGATATGACCTTTCAGGTCTCTTCAAATTCCATGATGCTTTGAACTTAGGCCTTTATTACTCTGGTCTGACACTCAATGCTGAACAACACATTTGTTACAGAGATCCATTGGAACTGGTGGTTGTCATCTTTATAAATAAACAAACATTCTGACTGTTTTTGTGCTTTCAGTATAAATGAAGACAAATAATGGGATGAGTTGTTAAGATCTTAGTGCTTTATTCACCTAAAGTAGTTTGTTTTGAATTTGTATATATATATATATGTCTGTTTGTTTGTATTTTTTTTTTTTTTTTGAGATGGAGTCTCACTCTGTCACCCAGGCTGGAGTGCAGTGGTGCGATCTCAGCTCACTGCAAGCTCCTCCTCCCGGGTTCATACCATTCTCCTGCCTCAGCCTCCCTAGTAGCTGGGACTACAGGCGCCCGCCACCACGGCCGGCTAATTTTTTGCATTTTTAGTAGAGACGGGGTTTCACCGTGTTAGGCAGGATGGTCTCGATCTCCTGACCTCATGATCCACCCGCTTCAGCCTCCCTTGAATTTGTATATTCTTAAATCTTTAGTCTACGGTTAAGAACTCTGGTTCAGGGGTATTGGTTTGGCAAGTGTAAGGGGGATTGGGGAGAAGATTGGAGAAGTATGTTAAGGTTCTGTTATTTCTGGGGTAAAAAATAAGAAGATGCCAGGAAAAAGAAACTGAAGTTAGAGGCAATGACTTTTGTTTAGAAGGTCAATGCTGCGGTGCATTTTAAAACCATCTCATTTAAAAAGTACAGAGAGTACACCAGCACCCACTAGCTTGGTGGCTGTGGTTGCATTAGCATCTTGTCCAACAGCCACGATAACCAAGCTATGTATCTTCCTTTTATTTTCTCTCAAGAGGGAGTTGATCTCCAATTTGCAAGTAAGTCTTCGAAATTTAGTTCAGTTAAGCCCAAGGATTTTGAAGACATCTCATACACAAAATGACACACATCAAGGGTGTGGGTATGTTGTTTTCCAGTGTTTCTAAGTAGGTGTGAAGGAAAACCTCATTTAAACTCTATTGAGAAATCAACAAAAGCCTTAAAACAAGAATAATGAAGCAGCATGAGTAATGTTCAGGGTCTATACTGAGACAAGGATGACGAGGGCATTGGTTCTTCAGTCAGAACAGCAACTGTCTATGCAATGTCTGAGGTCTGACTGTGCGACCTTGGGCCCAGTCACGAAATACCGTCACCCAAACCCAACTCTCCCCTCATTAACAGTAACAACACACAGCAGTTTAGTGTTTTATGGTTTCAGAGCTCTTTTGCATGTATTATCTCATCTCTGGTCCATTTTTAGGATGGTGTTAGCCTTACCTCATGCCCCAGCCTTTCATCATGTCTTTGGAGACATTGCAGCTTAGCTGATAGGTCTGATTTTTCTCCTTATGCTTTGGGCAACCTCTGGAAGGGGTAAAGGTGATGTTTTGGCTAGTAGTTTAAACAAATAACAAAGTTGGACTGAAATGGAAAGTTTCTAGTGAGATCAAAGAATACGACATAAGGGATAAAATTAAGCACGGTTTATGCAGTGGTGGCTTCTCTCATTAGGGCTGTCAGACAAACTGTTCCCACTCATTTTCTCACTTGGCCCTCATGGGAACCCCCTGGAAGTAGGAGCATTTATTATTATTCCTAGTGTACAGATGAGGAAACAAATACTTGGCCATTTACATAGTTTATAGAAGTCACAGGGCCAATGACAGAGCCTAGTTCTTTTGCCTCTTAGGCCAATGCTCTTTCTTCCATACCCCAGTGCTTCTCTAGGTATAAGATCACTTCTCAAGTTTGGACATTTTCTTGTATACATCACTTTCCTCCCCCGAATTAACAGAGAGGTAATAAATTTCAGAGGAGAGCTGGGACTAAAGATGCAGTCTTCACTCTGTCGCTGGGTTCTCTTTTTTTCCCTTAAAGTGAAGAGAATTTCTGTTTCTTTTGTACATTGAGGTCCATGCTACTTTTTGAGTCCTATAGACAGAGGAGTATTAGACACTCATAGAACTCTTTTTGCTATTGCTTCTCATTATGTTGTTGTGGTTAATGTCTTGATGTTCAGTATTATGAAACACATTGTCTTGAAACTTGTCCACTCAAAAGCCATCACCTACTGCTTCTTTGGTTGTGGGCTCCATGGACTTTAAAAGATCATTGAATGATGAAAGCAAGAAAGTTGGAGAATGAAGAGGTCTGTTAGGCAGTTTTCTACCTTCAACGTGCCTGTGGAGATGTTGGGTGAGTAATGTAAGAGAACAGGTGAATGGCACATGCGGGCGGGGGGCCCTCCTCTCAGGGTGTCATTGTTACTTTTGTCTGTTTTCATTTTTGTTTTTTCTTTCATTCTTAGAAAGGTAGGTCCTGTGTGCCAGGTAGGGCCTGGCAACAGGAGTCTAGAATTTAGGAGAATGGAGAGGCTACAGTTGGACCCAGTTAGTGTTTTCAAGATCGTGTCTTGACCACTGTCTGAAGTTAGTGGAATTGGATCTGGACAGAATATCAAAATCCCAGCCAAGAGGGTCAGGTATTACTCAAAAAATCTGTGCATTTGCCTAGGACTAGAAAACTTTTTCCATTCCTCACTGGCAGGTCAACTGATCTTCTTGATATACTTTAATCCAGTCTCAGGAACAAGCATCAGTGACTCTGGCTAAAAGCTCTAGGTAAGCAATAGATAAACTTTTGGCAGTAATGTCATTATTGGTATTTGAGTCAGTTGTTAGTGGCATTTATTATCCCCAGCCCCAAATCCTTCATTTAGCTTTTATGTGTTTTTTTTTTTTAGTTTTACTTCCCTGGATTCTTTTCTTCTCTTCAATTGTCGTAAATCAGTAACAGTTGAACTACACTGTCAAAATACAGTATTTTTTTTTAAATGAATGAAGCTCTTTGTTAAGGAATGGTTCTTTCTCTAATGCAAATAATTACTTTCTAATTGTTCTGTAAGATTATACTTTACTGCATATATTTTTAAAGCAGGCAGCGCCTGCAAAGTAATCATCTTATTTACCATTTTTAAAATTAAGTAGCAAGTCTATGGGACAATTCCAACTAAATAAAAAAAATTCAATAATGGAAATAGAGTAAGAACAAGGGGGAACATATATTACACAAAGCAAAACTATTTTGAAACACAGCATCTTATGTGGCCTTCCTTAGATTTTAGTGGCTTTTTGAAAAGATGGCTCCACACCTTGATTTACTACTCATCCCAAAGTCTAAATCCAAGGTTGTTCTTGGAACATTGCCTCTTCAAAGCATTCTTATTAGGAGCTGAGAGAACCCAAAGAGAGCGGTGAACATTTAAAGCATAGAGCATATAATGTAGCTGCACTAATATGAAAGAATTGTTCTGTATTAGACTCCAGAGATTGAATTATACAATTCATATCTAAGTGAAAGATGAGCACCATATTAAGCATATTTCCCCATCTCTGAAAGCAGGCAGAAAACTTACAAATGCATCTCAACAATCTTCTCCAAAGAGCATTCTTACTGGTCTGAAGCTATGGAGCACTCTGTTCTCTCTTGAATGTACTTTATTATCAATTCTTAAGCAGTTGAAAGGAGGCCTTGAATCTGAACCTATCCCACAATGCCCTTTATGTAGTGTGACTCTCAGAGGCCCCTGCTGCCCACACTTTGGCAAAGACTCATTTAACTTGATAGGCTTATGTATTCTACTCTTCCTTTCAACAGGAGTGGCTGGAGCAGGATAGAGGTAGAAGATGATTCCATGTAATGGATCCAATTACAAAGACTTTTGGAGGAGTGCTGAGAAGAGGTTATATTTGATGGGAGGAATAATCCTTTAGAATATGGTATGGCCCAATATCGGTCCTGGAAATAATCCTATCTATAGGAGACAGTTCTACTTCATTTAGAATTTAAAGGATGGAATATTCATAAAAAATTTTACATTGAAAATTTAATCCCAGCCTGGGGCTTGAGGAGCTAATTTCATCCCAGGTCTCTTTGCTCTACCATTACTGCTTTCTCCCACTTTATCAGGAAAATTTTGTAATACCTTTGTGCAATTAAGAGATACTGAGCTTTGTGCAATTAAGAGATACTGAGTGGCAATTATTGGCTCATTCTACATACCAACTTAATGGCCAGAGATTCTTTGGTTTTAATATCTAGCAAGTTTTACATGAGGCCACAGAATCAACTCTTAATTCATTCAGTAGTAATAGTTCAGTACTATCTTGGTGGTGTATATTATTTGTAGAGATCACAATTTTATGACTTGGGACTTGATCAGGGCTTAGAAAAGTTGGTGGGGTTTCTGAGTGAATAGTCAATAGTCCCAAGAATTGACAGACACATGGGGAAAGGAACAGAAGTTGTGGCAGACAATCATAGAAATGAAGAAAAGACAGAAAGAACAGGGAACGAGAAAGAGGTGAATGGTGGGAGTGGTGAATGTCCCTGAATCATCTCGTACTGCTGTGCTGGAGCCAGTTTTGAAAGGCTCACCGAAGCTGATTATAGTGTTCTTTTGAACTCTGTTCTGTGATTTTGTTTTGGTAACTTCAAATTGGCACAGTGGAAGCATTTACACCATAGATATTGGTGAATACTACAAATCAGGGCTTTTTTTTTTTTTCTTTTCCTCCCTCCAGGGAGCTAGTTGTTCAATATTTACCAGCATACTATGACCTTAGATATTTCTTTGTGATACAAGAAGCCTAAATTATCAAATGTGTCATAGCAGGAGAGAGTTTGGGAGACACTGGATTAGTTGGGCAGGGGCCAGTTCCACGAATAGAAATGACAAACTGGAGTTTCTATTCCCATAGTTGACTGAAATGAGAAGCAGGTCAAGGTATGGAGAGAAGAAGTCAAAGTAGTTGAGAAAGATGTATTGTAGGCATTTTGCAGAAAGCAGGAGCAGTCCTATTTAGCACTCATAACAGATGAATAAATGGTGGTTGGGAGAGGTTAAATCTGTATATCACACAAGTTAGAACCAATTATAATTTATTTTACCCAAAGTCCTAATTTCTAACCCCCACACTATAGGGTTCCTCTGTAGACCTCTGCATTCAATGAGGCAGGTGGTGCTCCCCACAACTTTTGGGCTTAGCATCGACATTGTAATCTAGATTGAGCTTTCTAGTGATACCCTATACACAGCTCTGCATGGCAGCCCTGCCTGCGGGTCACCTCTCTCTGACTCTATACACATGAAGAACATCCTCAGCCAAAACATCCCTGCTCCACTCCAGAGCAAACATCAGTTTCCCCTCCTCTTCTAAGTTGATAACTTTTTCTTTATTTCTACTGCCTTCTCATTCATTCATTTATTCATTCAATAAACATTTGTTAAAAGCCTGTGTGCATTGTGAAAGAAAGAGGGAATTCAACCTAGGAAGGCCTACTGGAGGGAACACATGTGTGTGTCTAATTTGGAAGCTGCAGAAGAAGAAGGAGTAAAGATGTGGGTTTGAGGACCACAGATGGGGGGCTAGACTTTCTAGGTCATCATGGAGACTCCATCTGTTTTGACTATTTCTCTTCAATATGAGCAAAAGCCTTAGCCTGGCAACTTACTCTTTTCTTCTAATTTTCTTTCATCTTTTGTCTCTGGCCGTTATCCAGGACTAGGTGGATCTCACTGACTTAGATATTCTCCCTTTGGAGATCCTGGTGCCTTCTGTGCCCCTACCCCCAAAGTGAAATCACTTTAGATACAATAATTCTATATGATATTTTTGCTTATCTGAAAAGCATAATTTAATTCTATTTATTGAAGTGGACTGATTCGTATAAAGTGTACATAGTAAATCATTTTGAGTTATTGATTTGGTTAAAAGGCCTATGGTTTGAAACAATTTTACATTTTGATCATGCGACATTATCCACTGAATCTCTTCTGATTTACATTTATTTATTTTTAGTTGTACGTTTATTAATGATAAACGGAGTTCAACTATAAATGACTATAGAATTTCATGAGATATTTTAAGGCGGTGTTAGAGTTAGGAACGTGTGGGTGGGGAGCCATATATGAATAAAGATAGTTTCAGTCAGATGTGAGAATCACACTTTGAGAAAGTGTGGTCTCTGGACCAGAAACATCAGTATTACCCAGGAATTTATTTCAAATGCACATTTTTGAGCCCCACCCCAGGCCTGAATCAGAAATTCTGCAAGTGGGGCCCAGTAATTTGCATTTTGACAAGCTCTGCATGCAATTCTGATGTTAGCTAAATATGAGAATCACTGATTAAAGTAATACTAACAAAGTTAGCAACAATCAAAGAAAATTTTAAATGAAGTAGTACAGTTATGTCATTAACTCACTTTGGTCGGACCAATACTTGTTTGGATCCTTAGGCAGATTTTCTACTTACTGTATTCTTAAAAACCAAAAGTGTTTCAGCATTTTCACTTCTTTTGCAAATAACCATTAGACAGACTTGTAAAAAGATTGATTGTACACTTTCATTTCCTCAAGCGGTCATTTATTCTTTCAGATAATACTCATTCTCCAGGCAGCAGACAAAAGACTTGAAGACATACACAGCTGAAGGAAATGAAAAGGCGACAAGGCTAAGAGAACAAAGATGAGCATTGTCACGGTCTGGAGGGTGGTGGTGGAGGAAGCCTTCTCTACGCTGGTGCCTCTATTGGAACTTTCAGGAAATGAACATGTGTGTTTTGTGTTTTTCCCTTTACACCTCAAGAAACTTGGAACAATGATTTTCTTTTATGGAGAAGCTTACATTTAAGCAGATAAAAATTAGCCCCGAGAATAGAAATACAGAATCAAAGTCTACAAATTTAATTATTGCTTCCCCTGGTTAGCTGATCTTCAATTCTGATATCTTCCTCTCTGGTGTAGGGGAGTAAGGGTTATACCCATTTTTAAATTCTTTGTTGTATTATGACTACTAATACACAGGGAAAGTTTCTATGCATTCATTTATTCAATAGATATTTATTAGGACTCACTGTTTATGGAACTGCCCAAGATATTGTGGGAGATACAAGGGAGAGGACAACATCAACCCTGTTCGCAGAGTGTTTGAAGTCTACCAGGACTTCAAATGTGTCCATTGTACACGTAAGCATAATAAAAGCTAAAAGTAGGTGTGCCATACAATGGATCAAAATTAAAGGCTGTAAGAAGAGGAAAGGCATTCTTTCTAGCTTTGGTCAGATTTGGTCCACAATCAAATCAAATTCTTACTAAGTTCATATTCTCTTACTGACAAACTGAACTGCTGCAAAAAATAATCCTCCCCCATGGGAGATCTTACAGTCAGACCCTAATTGCCCTAGCTCAGTTTAGAATGTAGCTTTGAAAAGAATGACAAAAGACCCTGAAGAGGCAAGCAACAGATTTTGAAATATCTGGTCTATGAGGGTGAGAGACTGTATGATGCCAAAGCCTGGGGGTACCCAGCTGGGGTCAATCGATATTAATTGCTAACACCTAGAGGTAATTAGCAGTAATTACCCAAAGGAGTGATGGGATGGCCAGACTGACTTAAAGGCAGCAATTCCAGGAGCTCCTAGCATGTTGGGAACCTAACAGTTTCTAGGTAACCATAAATAAATTAGGTTTCCCCAGCAATTTATGTAGAGAGTTTTAAAATTGCATTACAAAGGACCCCTGGGGCAAGCTTTTATAAATATATTATTAAAACTTGTAACTCTTCCTACCCAGAGGTGAAGTTTATTTTCTCACACTTTGAGTCTGAGAACTTGCTGTAACCAATAGAATATCGGGAAAGAGAAATTGTGCAACTTCTTTTGCTAGTAAGTCTTACAAGACCTGCAGCTTCCACCTTCACCTTCTAGAAACATTGCCCTGAGATCTTGTGAGGCAGCTGGTCTAGCCTCCTGGAGGAGTAGTTTTGTGGAGAAGATTCAGGCATCCCTGCCAACAGCACCAACTCCAGATATATGAGTGAGTGCATCTTAGAGTCTCTGGCTAATAGTGTACTAAAGTGTTAGACACTCAGAGTAGATCATTTTACCACCACCTTTTTCCCTATGGCAAAATTATATTCAACTATAATAAAAATTATAATTTTATTTCTTAGTTTTAAAGCAAACAATTGGCAAGATAACGAATGTCAATTTCAAAGATATTCATATTGAGCAAAATATTTCATAGATGAAATAAAAATTATATTCAACAAAAAAATACTTCAGTTTTCACCTTGCCTCAGTTTGAATTTTTTTTTGCACAGAAATTTCCAAGGTAAGAATGATTGTAAAGACAAGGAAACACAACTTGAGTTCCTTCTATTCTGTGATTTTATCATTGCTAATTTCAAATCTACTGATTAAACACAAGAATATGTAGTACCATGGAAATAGGGATGTAAACTGCGCACAACGAAAGCTTGAACAAGTCCTAGTCGCTATGAAACTATTCTTAAACATATGTAACAGACACTGGGGAGGCTGGGGGTTGGGGGGCGACTGTGTAACTGAGTTCTCCAAATTAACTTCTATGTAGAACACAATGTTTATTAAAAGATAAGGAATAAAACGGGCTAATTTGAAGCTTCTGTAAATGTTATTAAAACTCAAGAGCTCCAGTATTTGTTCAGAAATTAGGCCAACACCCTTCCTCGGCCGCCTGCTCCTCGGCCTCATCGCTCGGCCTCTGCCTGGCCTATCGCCTGCCGCTGGCTTCCGACGGGCTGGCCCCTGTCTCTTATACACATCTAGATGTGTATAAGAGACAGGACCTGAGCCAGGCGGCGGCGTGCACCGATGACTACAAGATCATCCGCACCAACGAGAAGGAGCAGCTGCAGGCCCTCAACGACCGCTTAGCCGTGTTCATCAAGAAGGTGCATCACCTGGAGACGCAAAACCGCGCGCTGAAGGCAGAGGTTGCCGCGCTGCGACAGCGCCACGCCCAGCCGTCGTGCGTCGGCGAGCTCTTCCAGCGCGAGCTGCGCGACCTGCGCGCGCAGCTGGAGGAGGACAGCTCGGCGCGTGCGCAGGCCGTGCTGGAGCGCGACGGGCTGGCTGAAGAGGTGCAGCTGGTGCGGACGCTAAGGCGCCGAGGGTGCTCTGAAGGCGCAGCAGCGCGACATGGACGGCGCCACGCTGGCCCGCCTAGACCTGGAAAAGAAGCTGGAGTCGCTGCTGAACGAGCTGGCCTTCGTGCGCCAGGTGCACGACGAGGAGGTAGCTGAGCTGCTGGCCACGCTTCAGGCGTCGTCGCAGGCTGCGGCCGAGGTGGATGTGACTGTGGCTAAACCAGATCTGACCTCGGCGCTGAGGGAGATCCGCGCCCAGTATGAGTCCCTAGCCGCTAAGAACCTGCAGTCCGCAGAAGAATGGTACAAGTCCAAGTTCGCCAACCTGAACGCGCAGGCGGCGCGCAGCACAGAGGCCATCCGGACGAGCGGCGAGGAGATCCATGAACACCGGCGCCAGCTGCAGGCGCGCACCAGCGACATCGAGGGCCTGCGCGGGGCCAACGAGTCCTTGGAGAGGCAGATCCTGGAGCTGGAGGAGCAGCACAGTGCCGGGGTGGCTGGCTACCAGGGTAGCATTGGGCAGCTGGAGAATGATCTGAGGAACACCAAGAGTGAGATGGCACTCCACATTCGGGAATACCAGGACTTGCTCAATGTCAAAAATGGCTCTTGACATTGAGATAGCAGCTTACAGGAAACTGCTGGAAGGTGAGGAGACACGTTTTAGCACCAGTGGGTTAGGCATTTCGGAGCTGAATCCACTTCCCAATCCAAGTTATCCGCTCCCACCTAGAATCCTCAGTTCTACAACCTCCAAGTCTCATCCACTGGGCTATCACTTAAGAAAGAGGAGGAGGAGGCATCTAAGGTAGCTTCTAAGAAAACTTCCCAGATAGAGGAAAGTTTTGAAGAAATATTAGAGGAGACAGTGATACCTACTAAGAAAACCGAGAAATCAAATATAGAAGAAACCACCCTTTCAAGCCAAAAAATATAGTTCCATTGCTTTGAAAAAGTTAATGCTTAAGAAGGAATTATATGCATTTGACTTGTTGAACAGCCTATTCCTGAACCATAACACCTGCCACCACTATAAAATATCTTTAAGGCTTCAGTCTCGTATTTAGTATTGAATACTTACCTTCTGTAATAAGAAAACCACCCCTTAGATTGAAGTAAACTGCAGTCCTGGAGCAATCACAGATGAATTATCTAAGAATACAGCTTTTTGACCTTCAGCTCACGCTTCACAGTGATCGATGATTCAGGTGCAGAGGAAGTGCAAACTACGGTGCTAAATCAGTGATCATCGTCATTTGCTGTGAACTGAAATTAAAACTATTCACGCTACCCAGCCATTACCCAGCTAAATAATCTTACTCTAGATACCTAAAACGTAAGATCACTGCCAAAGATAAACTAATGGTCCACACCCAATTCCAGTCTGATAGAACTTTCACAAATAGTAGGTGTTTGTTTAATGCACACCTTCCACCTCCCTCAATTCCACATATACTTTTCTTCTATGTAGGAAAAAAATAGTCTAGTCTAGTGTTCTTCCCATGTAAACACATTTTGGTTCCTCCCAAAAGAACTTACCCCCATTTACTCTCTCTGCTCAGTGGATAAAATTAGATGCATGTTAACCATGTCTATGATTCGTGTAATTGCTTATCCCTGTCCATTTTATATTCTTTCAATTCTGTAGGTTAAAAAAAAATGGCAGTGATGAATTTTAAGGGTTTCTCCCAGCATATAAAATAATGAAAAGAATCCCTAGACTTTAGGCTTTCAGCTTACACAAATTCATTTAATTAGGATTAAAAAAAACCCTTAAGGATGTAGCTTTTCACCTTTACTTTAGAAGCACAGTAAATAGTTATTCCAAACTGTGATGAAGCTGACCTTAGATTTAGTAGTATAAGCTAGAGGAAGTGAGTGTTTCTATAAGTGGAAAAAGCCAAGGTGTCATTTACATGTCAGTTCATTTGTGGTGATATAGAATTAGCTTTTTCATCCCCTTACCCTTAGAATCCATGTATTCCCCTTCCCACTAGTCTAGGTCCTAAAAATGCCTCGCTTTTACTCTCCTATGCCTTTTACGAGTGCTCAGTGTAGGATATTTTGTCACTAGAACACAATGCTGCTGCCCCAAAGTAAAAACAAACAAAAAAACACAACCACTTCTGGTCAATCAACACCACCAGCAAATATAAGAAAGAAATCTTTCTCTTTTCTAAAAGACTTCCCCAACACTTACCCCATGGTTGCACAGATGGTGGGGTCCTGCCGGAGAGGAAGAGACACCCAGACCAGAGAAGGGGTGTGCATGCGCCTACTCGCTTGCTAGAAGTAGATTCTGGACAGTCAGCTCTTCATCTGCCCAACTGTGTAGCATCTGCATTGCCCAGTCTTTCATGTGTGCCAAGGCTGATGCAGGATTTGTTCTCTGTCCAGCAGTCACTTCTGCCAGAGCTAAAGAGTTGCCCCATCTCTGTTCTATGTCTCCTTTAAGAGCTCTGGTGATAAGGACATGATGCTTTTACTGAACTTTCTTATCCTAGCACGTGCTTCAATAGTTCAAGGAACTTGAAAGACACTTTTCTCTTCTTCCTTACTTTTACCCCATCCCTGTCTTTACTCCTCACACTTATTGTAAGACATTGGTAAAATAAAAAATTAAAAGTCACACGAATCCCACCAAAAAAAAAAAAGAAATGAGGCCAACACTTTTTTTTTTTTTTTCCCCCCCAGGGAGGAGTAGTTTACCACTGACGCTGTTTGGAATTGCTGGCACATGGTGATAATCAAAGGTAGGCTGATTTCTTGTCATTTAAATTGTTGCTTCAAAATTTACAGATGATGTACCCTATTTTTGCCTGTGCCTTATGTGGACTGCTCCTGCTGACCCATGCTGGATATGCCTCTGCTTTTGTTACCAGAGGAAGGTATCTGCATGGGTCTGCAGCAACTTCAATTCTTGCCTCCTCAGAAAAAAGAATTTGACTGAGGGGCATAAGGCAGAAGGAGAGACCGGGGCAAGTTTTGGAGCAGGAGTGAAAGTTTATTAAAAAGCTTTAGAGCAGTAATGAAAGGAAGAAAAGTACACTTGGAAGAGGGCTGAGTGGATGACGTGAGAGGCCAAGTTCATGGCTTGGCCTCTTGACTTGGGGTTTTATATGTTTGCATGCTTCTGGAGTCTTTTGTTACTTCTCCCCACTCCTGAGATCTTACTGGGAAGCAACTGATCACCAGTTTCAGGTGTTTTCTATTAGAGACTACCTTTCCCTAGCACCAGCTGTGACAAATTGTTACTTTAGAGAGACAGTTAACAACTCCCTGACCATCACCTGTCGGTCGCCCAGTGCTCCTGGTGTGTGTGTCGGGGAGCCCTCTCTTGCCCTGCTCATATCTAATTAGCTACTTACTGTACCACTTTTAGCATTTCACATCCCATCTGACTGTGACTAGGTGAGACCAGCAGGAACTGCTCAGTTGACCCAAAGAATCACCAGAAATAATAAATGGTTATTTCATGCCACCAAGTTTCAGGATAATTATGTAGCCATAGATAAGTGGTGCAGGAAATGATAACTTAGAGTAATTGAGCTAGATTTTTCTTCCTGAAGCTGTGACAATGATAAGAGCTCTAAATATGTACTGGGTAGAAGGTAAAGATTTGGGGACTATTGTTGATGGTATGGCTTATTGACGGAGGTGAAGTCATTTTAAATAAGATGGGAAAGGTGATGCAAGAAGGAAATGGGGAGAGAAAAATGTTTCTGTGAAGATTGGAGATTTAAAATTATCACGAATAGATTGGTGAGGGGGAGTGATTCAAAGAAAACAGTGTTTTAATTCCTGAAGCTAAATCATTTTTTTGTATCTTGAGTATGAAACCAGACCTTTGGGAATGGGATCTGAATGTCCCTGAAACAATGAGGTATGCTTCTACGTTCCAGCAAAGACATCAAACTCTGTCCCCAAAGCCAGAATGAAGGACACATTGTGGAGATTATGTTTTCGTGGTACAGAGCTTTAACATACTTATTTGGTAGGTAATTTCTGAAGCAGTAGCAAGGATACAATGGTAAAAAATTGGCAAAAATCCATCCCACTCATTACTAGTAACTTTAAATTTATGTGGTAAATTACATAACCATAGATAAATGCCATTTCCATATCCGGTTTCTGAAATGTCTACAAATATGAAACTGAGTCACAGAAAACTGGAGTGTTATTTTAAACATTTCAGTCCATTCAGCTTTTGCTTTTTATGACTTTGATTGATTTCCATGCTATCTCAAACATTTCTTTCTTGAAGAACGGATTTTTTTGGACCATGATTTGGCAAAGATGATGTGTGTACTATGAAAATTGGAGACTGTGGTTGTCAGGAGAGGTGATGTTCTGTTCAGTAAAATTATATTGAAACTTAGGAGGAGAAATAAATTCCTGGAATAATGAAGAGTTGTATATTTGAACATATATGTACATATATGATGGAAATTAGCTAATGCGATTATGGAGACTGAGAAGTCTGAAGACCTGCCCTCTGCAAGTTGGAGAACCAGGAAAGCCAGTGGTGTGATTCAGTTTAAATTCAAAGATCTAAGAATGAGGAACATCGATTTTTCCCAGTAGGAGGAGATGGATGCCCTAGTTTAAAGAGTGAATTTGCCATTCCTCCACCTTTTTGTTCTTGGATGCCTGTCCATATTGGTGAAGGCAGTCTTCTTTCTACTTATTCAGTTGCTATTCTCTTCCAAAAACACCCTCACAGACACACTCAGAAATAATGTTTTACCTGTTATCTGGGCTTCTTTAACCCAGTCAAATTGACACAGAAAATTAGATATCACGTCATAATAATGAGTAAAGAGTGTGAAGAATGTTGGAAGTATTTTAAGAATGACACAATTTCAGAAATTCTGAGAATTCTAATTTTTTTCCTAGCAGATACCTGAAGATTAGTATCTGTCACCAATTTATAAATACTAACTGAATCATCCTGTACTCAAATAAATTATGATAAATTAACTCGACTTTACTTTTGCTAGTGTGAGTACAGTATTTGTTCACTGGACTGTCTGAGATTTACTGCAACTGGATTTCAGTAAAATATTTCACAGCCTCTTGTTATATCTTAATGGAGAAGATGGAAACATGTGAGTTGAATAATAGGCCATTAAATTAATTTGTAGCTTGTTAAACAGCCATGTCTAAGTGTGGTGATTAGTGAATCAATATTATCTTGAAGTCACCTTACTAGAAGTCAGCCCTATGACTGTGTTTTTGATCAAGTTCTCACCAATGACTTGAAAAAAGATTAAAAAAAAAGTCACTTTCTTGCATGCATATGATTATTAAACACACAGACACAATGTGTTGATAATATTTTGACTAATAAAAGTAAATACTTAGAAGTTTCCAGCACGTAGGAAACAGGTGCTAAGAACAACCAGTTGAAATTTAAGGCTGACAATTATGGTAAAAACAAACAAACAAACAAAACCCAAGTATATAATGCGTGAGTCTTAGATTAATGATAGTTTATATAGAAAAATAACCCCAGAAGTTTTAATGGAGTGCAAGTCTAAATAAACTTATAATGAAACAGGGTTGCCAAGACATCTAATGGAAACTTTGGTTTCACTAACATAACTAACATATCTAGAACATGCAAGGTATTAGTCTCCTTGAATTCTACATTGGACTGTATCTAGAGTATTATATTCCATTTTAGAATAGTATCAATAAATATTGATAAATGGGCATAAATATGGAGGAGGATGCCCAGAATATAAATTTATTTTTTTTCTAGAACTCAAACTATGGAAGAACTAGAGATGTTTCACTGACTAGGGAAATGTTGATGGGGAAAGGACCATTGTTATCAAATATTTGATATTTGATATTTTGCCTATGCATATGAACTAGAGGTTATACTTATTCAGTGTCACTCTGGGTAACTAGGGCCAATTAATTTAGTTTATA